TCCCGTTCCCAAATCCGCTCCTTGTGCCCGCTGTGCCCTGTGGTGTCCCATACCCGGAGCAGGTCCCGTGAGCAGTGGATACAGAGGGAGAGGGGACCTAAGGGCTGCTGAGCTCTGTGGAGTCTCCAGCGATTCCTAAAAGCGTCTTCTGAGGCCGGCTGAGCAGCCGCTGCTCCTCTCCGTGTCGGTGGGCGACAGCGTAATCCTGCTGCAGCGGAGGAGTTTGTCTGGTTTGGCAGTGCAGCAGCATGTGGACCATGTTTTCCTACATATGCAATGCTCAGTTTCCCAAGCACAACGTCTATGCAGCAAATTCTTAACTGCTTAAAAAAAAAAGAAAAAAAAAGCTTTGCTCTTGTGGGCATTTTTTAAATTGTTAGAAAATTTGTGTGGGTATTGCAATGTTTGTTTTCCTTAGAGTCTATTTTTATCTTGCTTTCTGTTAAAGAAGTTGATCAAAATACAAATTGCACCTTTAAATGTGGCCCGCTGACAGCCCCCCAACAAGAAAAGCAGCCCTGGCGAGGGCTGGGGTGTGTGCCCGAGGCTGGCTGGGAAAGCTCAGACCCTTTTATTGCACTTGCTCGCCAGCACCGCTAACAGGGCAGGTGGCCCAAGTGCTGGAGGGGTGAAGGAGGGTGGCTGTCCCCAGCGCTGGAGCTGGCCTTTTGGAGAGGATCCTGGGGATGGTTTTTGCCCACTCTTCTCAACAGCCTCCAGCCCACTCTCTTTTTGCACATTTTTTTCTGGCCGGCACCAGCAGCGGAGCCGGCAGCGGCCCAGCTAGAGCCCCGAGGGAGGTGCCGATGGCGGGAGAGGGAGAAGAGCTGGAGGCAGAGGGGGGACAGGGAGCTTTTACATAAGGCTGCTCCCCTGGTGCAGAGAGCACTGCAGAGAGCAGCGCCCTCCCCCAGCTCCCGTCACCGGACTCGTCGCTTTTGTTTTGGAGACGCGGAGTTGGCCGGGCAGCGCTCGGCCGAGCCAAGGAGGGGGCAGCGAGGATGCGGCGTTCCCGGGCGCGCGC